GGTCCCCGAGGGTTGATTTGAGGGGCCAAGACCATTAATACATCTAAAAACTTATAAAAGAACCTTACAATCAATCCTGAAACGGACCTGAAACGGAGTGACATCAGTGAGATAAGAGGTGAACCAGTTAAAAACAGTGCCTGAGAGGCCGACCAGGTGCTGAAGTCTATTTAATAAAATGTGATGGTCTACTGCATCAAAGGCGGCGGCGGCGGTTAGATCCAGCAGAACCAAGACTGTGAGGTTGCCATTATCTAAATTGTACCTGATGTCATTCAAAATTTTTAAAAGGGCTGTCTCAGTACTGGGGTTCCTCCTAAATCCTGATTTGCACTTCTCTAAAATGCTCTTTGTATTTAAACGATCGTATTTAAATACAAAGATTGCTCTTCTATTTATTTATTTTTTGTGCCAAACACCCACTTTAGGGTGTTTTTGTTTTTTTTTGTTCTTCTTTTCAGAGTTTTTTGTTTTAAAGGTTTTTTGCCCACATTAAGGTTTGTTTTTTTAGTTTTTTTTTTTCTCGCCTGGCACCTATGTCTGGATGAGCTACTCTTAGTCTGGTCCCTCCCCCACGACCTGTTTGCCTTGGGTGACCCTTCAGAGGCATAAAGCCCCTGACGACATAGCTCCTGGGATCATTGGGACACACAAACCCCTCCACCACGGTAAGGTGGTAGCTCAAGGAGGGGAAAAAAACCCTCCCATGGGGGAGGGAAAAACCACAACGTTGTTTTTTGTTTTTTTTTTAAATCATTTACTTGTTGAAGAACAAGTTTTTCCAAGCTTTTACTTAAAAATGGTAAGTTGGATGGTTCCACAACCGGGGACCATAAAAACTGAACGCCGCCTCCCCATGTGTTTTTGTTTTTGACTTTGGGTAAGGTTAAAAGGCCTGTGCCGGAGGACCTCAGGGTCCGCAAGGGTTGATATGGTAAAAGTACATCAGATAAATAGGAGGGGCCAAGACCATTAATACATCTAAAAACGAATAAAAGAACCTTACAATCAATCCTGAAACGGACCTGAAACGGAGTGGCGATCAGTTAGATAAGAGGTGAACCAGTTAAAAACAGTGCCTGAGAGGCCGACCAGGTGCTGAAGTCTATTTAATAAAATGTGATGGTCTACTGCATCTGAATACTATTTATCAGTAGTTAACATTTATACATCTGAGGCATCTCATCATCTTTATGGGCCGAGAGTTTACATCACAAGCAGTCCCCAGTGTTTCTCTACGGACAAACAAGCACGTATTCTTCTGTTTTTTTTTTACCTGACCAAAACCGTTGTTTCGGGGAAGTTGACCTTGGATGCACCCAGTGCCTGTCTCTTTTTTATCCTTTTTGCGTCATGTATTCCGGGCTTTCACTGAGTTCCCACTGATCAGACTGCTGGGCATGCAAACCCTCCCTTTACACCTCCACATCTTCTCAGGACAGAGTGATCTTCCTCCCTCACCCTGTTGTTCACATTTCTGAGCTACACCTGCACGTCTGTTATGAAAGGCACATCATTATCTAGAGCATATGTCAAGGTCATAGTAACGTGATGATTATAAGGAACACTTCTAATGAATGACTGTTAAGGCATCATAGCAGAATAGTTTAAAACCATACTTCCCCACACTTGGCACTTCTAGGCATAGCTAAAATCTTTCTTTACTGAGAGTCTCTCTTCTATACGTTGTGACACAGTGATCAATTGCCCCCATGTTAGCTTTAAACTTTCTTATCTGAGTCATCAGTACATGTCCGCAATGAGCACACAAAATAATGTAAACACAATAAAAAAAACAGTTAATTACCTGAAACAATGGCTAAATGATTGGTATGATATATGAGTTCCCACAATGTAGAGCTGTTGTTTCAGCTCCTGCTAAAAGATTCCGATTGTCTCTTTCTTGAAGTGTAGCCACTCGCTGAAAGGTTCAAACGATCCTACCCTGGACAGCTGCTCTCCTTCAATCTCCTAACACGAGATGATGTCATAATGATGTCATCACGGAATTTGTTTACATTCAAATTTTTCACATTTAAATGTAAACAAAAGCACACCGTATAACAATTATGTATTTTTCAAACCTGCTGTTAATCCCACATTGATTTGAGCTGTTTTTGTAATAGAAGCTTTATGAATTGATGTGTGTTGATAAGTTAAATAAGACAACTTAGTATTACACACCAGCTGTCAAACTGAGCTTTACAGGCACCATCTTACCTGTCTGAGTTGTCTGAATACTATTTTTCAGTAGTTAACACCTGTCTACCTCTGTCCATTGTTGAACCAAAATTAAAAAATAGTTCTCTTTAACCCTTGGTGCATCTTCGGGACACAAATGGACATTTTGGGTGTGTTTTTTGTTCTTCTCTCAGTAACCCGGTCAGTTTAAAGGCTAGCTGTATGAAATTTCGGCACTATTTTTTATTTTTATTTTAAATGCCTTAATTCCAAAAGCCTGTCTACTGGAAGTGTTTAGCATAGGAGATTTGCGTCACACCGACACTTGTTACCCTCGTGGCCAAATTTGGCCAATTGACTTCCATGATAACCACATATTTGTCATACGATATAATCCTAACATATTATAATGCTTTTTCTATTTATACCTAATAGATCTAAACTTTTACCTTCAAAATTTAGGGAAAATATGTTTTAGGTGTAATGATCCCCTTTAATAAGGCCAGCTCACTGACCTTAGGTCTCCCTCTGGTAAAGCATTTTTATGATGCAAATCTGTAACTGCGGCCTGCTAACAAACTACAGACATTATCAAGAACCAGTAAAAGATTATCTCTTTGCCTTGGTCATTTTAAAAAGAGAACTGAAAAAGTCTGGAGCTGAGAATATTTATTAAAACCTCCAGTTTTACCCTGTTCACAAGAAAATAAAAGGTCCCAAAATTGCAGTTCCTCAAGTGTCCACTTGAGGCTGTCCCCAAAAATAGGCCAATCCCCATTTAGCACCATTTAAAAATGCTTATCATCAGAGATGTACAACATGTACAACACTAACATTCTTCTGTATGGCTTATTACTCTATTTGAAACAATTACGCAGATATCAAATTTCATGTATTCCATTAACCTCAGTAATCATATACTGGAGCTGGGAATGATATCACACCTGAGCTGATGTTGTGAGCATCATTTACTATACCAGGCAACAACAATACACAACATGATAGCTTGCGCGTGACTGCAACATGACAATGTGCCCACAAGTAAGACTTGTACAATACTAACAGTGTGATTGATCTATTGACACAAAACCAGAATAAGTTGCCAATAATTGCATCAAAATTGTGGCTGATTTGCAGCCATCTTGGATTTTGAGCTTGGGTTACCTTAAGTTGTTACAGCTTTCGGAGTAAAAATTCAGATTTTAGGGGGGCACCAGGTGAAGTAACTGACAGGGGCATGTCTAAATGTTAGATTTCTGAGATAAAACAGCAAAATATTATTCTTAGTCAATGTGTTATGTAAAATATGCAAAGTTAAAGGTGTGGTGTGGCTGCCTCAGCTTCCTGTGTAAATACAAGTTGGTTGAAGTCGAGGGCTCTACAGTGGTGCAGCTTTAGAGCAAGGGGTTCCCTGGTTTGAATCCAGTTAGGGCTTTTCTCTGTAGAATTTGCATGTTGTAACACTGAACCAGGTTTTCTCTTTTGCCTGCTCTTTCCCACAGTCGTAGTTCGCTGTCAAACTTCTGAGTCAATGCTGAATGTGCAAAATGTAGAGCACACAGAATACTTTTGCTAGTTTTGACATATGCAATAATAATTCTTTGAAATCATGTAAATATGCTAATAGGTGGTACTTGACCCATTATGGCAGGGCTCCACACCTGATGTAGATGGACAGAAAGAGCTGACACGTCAGCAGGATTATCAAGTGGGCACCTCCCTTGACAACCCCAAAACACCTCCGGAAGGCAGGTTAAGTCTGGCATCCCACAACCATCCCACCTCATGCTAGTTTCTCGCATTCATCACATGCAACTAGCAAAAAAAAGAGACATTGCAGAGCCAAGTTAGTATGCTCTGCCTCCCTCTGCTCTCCCATTTCCATAAGAGAAGAAGAGGAGGCTAAAAGGCATGGGGCCATAAGGTGTTGCACAGAAAATCTGCAGCGTGCACTTTCAAAAATACGTGCTCAGGGGCCAGAGAGGTCTCACACTTTCCTGCACAATATGCAGCCTGCAGTCTCCCCCTGCATTCAGGGTCTCTGTACGCTGGTATCTCTTGTCTGTGATGACTGATGTATATTTAGCCACCTCTGTCACCTCACTTCACTGTGTGGATGATCTCATTTTAATACAAACACACAGAGCGAGCGAGGAAATCATACACACTCACATGAACACACACATTCATGGTCTTTCAGAGTGACAATAGAAACTTCCAGATAAACCATAAACTGGAGCGTCCTGCTAATGAGTGTGAATATTCACTGACCCACATGCCTCTCTCATGATGTCATAAGATTAGACCAATCAGTGACCAGTCAGCAGAGCTGCTCGGCCCATGAGAGTTGGTATTTATCAGGATTTTAGCAGAGACCAGCTGATAACTTTTTTTCATTCAAAATTGAAAAACTAAAAACTGAAGCAGCCCATTAACCTTGTCCATGGAGACTTTTCCCTCCGATCTTCTCTGTTTTCTTGATTCCTCTACTTCGTTCCCAGCAGAACCAATGACATCACTCTTTCTCACGCTCTTTGTCCATCTCCTCTTCCTCTGAGCTCGCCCTCTCCTTCTCTCACATCCTCCTGTTTTCCCAGAGGGCTGTAGACACATTGTTGATTTCCTGTCACTTCTGTCACACACAGAATGACTGATTGTCTAAAGCCGCGTTCAGACCATAGACTGTATATACTATGGACAACTTGGTTCCGCCTGCCGCCTGTATACGGATTTGAAGCCAAAAAGCTCTCAATATTTCCGGGATTTTTCTTAATTTCCTGAAACCAGCGCTGAGCAGTAGCGATGCGCGCATTTGGCCACGCAGTCGCCGAGAGTCGCTGTGATGACGCTCGGCTCAAACAGCGTATCCCCTGGGAGAGCTACGCAATCCCTGAACGCCAATAGGCTGTATCAGGTGTCAATCATAGAAAACATGAACCCCCTAATAACTTTTAAAAACGGAGCTTCACAGAAAAAAAGAGGACTTGAGCACAAACCAGTCTTACTGTAACTACATGTCAACATCACAAGCAGGGGGGGAGAAAAATTATGTTCTGTATAACAAATTTCTAAAGTTTGTCCAATGCCACTGCCTTGTCCACGGGATTTATAACCTGTACTGCAGCCCACCAACAGAGGGTGCTGTTCTCGGAGTGGCTTCACCCAGCGAGGAGGCAGACTCTGTCCATTCTATATACAGCCTATGGTTCAGACCAAACGCGACTTGAAGTGACCTAGTCGCGTAGGTCGCTCACGCCACGTTGCGTCGCGTCCTGGTTCATTCACACTGGTGCTGCGTCCGAATTGCCAAGTAGTAGTCGAAGTAGTAGTCGAAGTGGTATGTAGCATGTCCGGATTGGCCACTGGAGCGAGTAGCATGCTACTTCAGATACTAGACACGCCCACATTGTAGTATGGTCGCAGTGCACCCTACGGACATGCTACCGACCCAAAATTCACCAGGGGCTTCTTCTTCGTCCTGTTAAAAGTTGTAGAAGCGCAAGTGATGCTAGCGCCACCAGCTGCTGCCTATTTAGATGCGTCGTGAATGCCGGCTGGCCACAGCAGCGCGCACCATGGCGGAGCAGCAGCAGCAACAGGCAGGACCGCAGCAGTACAGATGTAAGTTTCATGTAATTTCACACACTGTCCTAAAAAATGTGGGGTTGTATCTCTTTGTCATGTCATGGTGTCATATTTGCCCAAGTAATCATTTTATGAGCAAATATGTGGCGACATCATGGAGGTAAAGCTCACTTATTCCATCATTAAACTGCACAGCTGCAGTACTACAGCCAGGCCAGCAGATGGGGGGCTTCCGTTACCACTGTCTGCACGGGCGCAGTACCTACTCTCTGCCTGCGGGGGTCGTCTTTCCCCACCGCTAATCTAGTGTGTCCGAATTGGGCCAACGTGTTTCGTATCTAGGAGTAGGATCTAGCAGTAGTATGTAGCAGTAGTATGTAGTATGCGAGCGGGCAATTCGGACGCAGCGCGGGTCCAAAGCTGCAGTTGCGGAGGTTGCAGGATGCGGCTGGTCGCCGATGATGTCACTAGCTCAGTTTTCAGTGCGACAAGTGTTCAAGATGCCCGACGTCATCCTCTGTGCTGCCGCATATCTTTACCTCCGCCGCAGACGCCGCCGGCGTGTTTGGGTGCATGAAACCATCCGGAGGAGGACGGAGCTGGGGGAATTTCACCGCTTGCTCCAGGAACTCCGCCTAGACCAGGGGTCGGCAACCCGCGGCTCTGGAGCCGCATGCGGCTCTTTCTTCCCTAAGCTGCGGCTCCCAATGGATTTGGAAAATAAATAATAAATACTTAATTGCATTTTATTTTATTTTATTATTATTATTATTTTTTTTTTTTTGTAATTCTAAATTCAAAGATTAAAATGCTCTTGTAACATTAAATAAACTATTAAGGCTGCAACAACGAATCGATTAAGTAGATTCGTCGTGACGAAAAAATCCGTTGCCAACAAATTCTGTGATCGATTCGTCGGGTCTTTATATATGTCCATGGACACCGGCGTGTAAACATCAGCAGAACGCACAGAAAAGAAACAGCCATGGCCGAGGCAGCGGCTGAGAAAAACATGGACACAACCCAACCCAAATCCCGACCTAAAACATCAGTGGTGTGGGAAAACTTAACCAAGACTGAAAAGGAAGGCGTTCAGTGCAACATTTGTAAAGACCGTTTTGCATGGCTCGGGAGTACATCGATGATGCGTGAGCACAGGGCTCTCAAGTCTCACGCATTCAGCGTATGACACACGCATTCCCACTCGTTCACACGCTCACACACCACACATTGTATTTCTCACGCATTTAAATGAACACAGTGATGTCCACCAAGTTGCACTTCTTCAACTATTGAACTGGGGGAAATCAACTGAGTTCTTCCGAGAGTTCAGAAGCTGCGTGCCACGCACAAGCCAATCAAATAAAGTATATCTACTGAACAGCCAATCAAAAAGCAGCATTGCTGTATCCGGGTAGATTTTGATATCTTGCGGTTTAACTACAGAAGAAGACAGACACTCGCCGAAATAGTTCATTTATTTCATAAATGCAACTCGCTACAGTTTTTTATATACTTTGTATAAAGGTTAAAAAAAAAAAAAGATATATGCAATGTTATCTTCATTTTAGATGTCAAAGAGGTTTTGCGGCTCCCTGTGTTTTCTTTTCTGTGGGAAACTGGTCCAAGTGGCTCTTTGAGTGTTTAAGGTTGCCGACCCCTGGCCTAGACGATGGGCGCTTCCAGCGGTACTTCCGTGTGTCGTCGGCGCAGTTCGAGGACCTCCTCGCCCGGGTGGGAGGCAGCATCTCCCGCCAGGACACAAATTACAGGCGCTCCGTCTCAGCTTCGGAGCGCCTGTCTATCTGTCTGCGGTGAGTATAATCAAATGTAATTAATTTAAAATGACCAGATACACTGGGCAAAAAAGGCAAAACTGCAAAGTTTATCAGCTTTCTGTGCACTGAGCTTTTCCTGTGAGCTGCTCTCTGTCTCTTTAATATCCAGTCAAAATAAAATTCTGTGAATCTGATCAATTTACTAAAGACAGATAATATAACTCCTGTGAAAATAATCCTATCTGATCAGACTGATTAAGTGCTGCTGAGGAAGTCAACAGGATTGTTCTGTTTCCCTTGTTTGATCCCCTCAGTAAAGAAAGAAGTTACACTGTAAAAAAACGAACCCCTTGACACATTCAATGCATACTGTGAAAAAATTACCTGGACATTAATTAATTTAAAATGACCAGATACACTGGGTGCTAGCATAAATGTCCGTGTCAAAGAGGATTTATGGACACTCAAGTCTTCGGTTACGTTTGTATTTCATATGGCCTCATATTTTGAATAAAAATAGCAATGAAATTAATTTTTATGTGCTTCAGGTTCCTGGCTACTGGAGACTCCTTCAGGACCATTGCCTACAGTTTTCGAGTTGGAGTTTCCACCATGTCAGGCATCGTGGCAGACACCGTGTCCTGCATCTGGGAGTGCTTGGTGGAGGACTTCATGGCTGTGCCCACCTGTGATGAGTGGAGATCCATAGCACAGGGTTTTGAGGAGCGGTGGAACTTTCCCTTGTGTTGTGGTGCTGTGGATGGGAAGCACGTGGTTCTGAAGGCTCCTGCCAATTCAGGATCAGAGTTCTATAACTACAAGGGAACATTTTCTATTGTTCTCTTGGCAGTTGTAGATGCCAATTATTGCTTCCGAGTGATCGATGTCGGAGGCTTCGGGAGGACCAGTGACGGGGGGATTCTGGCCAACTCTACGTTTGGTCAGGCCCTCCGTTCTGGCTCCCTCCAACTGCCTCCGGATCGATCACTGCCTGAAGCTGAGCACAGGGGACCCCAACCTTATGTGTTTGTTGCAGATGAGGCCTTCCCGCTCCGGAGGAACCTCATGAGGCCATATCCAGGGCGCATCCTCCCCAGAGAGAAGCGCATTTTCAACTACCGGCTGTCCAGGGCGCGGCTGGTGGTTGAAAATGCCTATGACATTCTTTCCACTCAGTGGAGGATGTACTGACGTGCCCTTGAGGTTTCTCCGGACGTTGCAGAGAAGTGTGTGAAGGCCACCTGTGTCCTTAATAACTTCCTGTGTAGGTCTCAGCCTGAAGCTGCCATGAGGTTGGGTGCCATCACGGGTGGTGAGGAACCTCAGGCAGGGCTGGGACGTCTCGCTTCAAACAACTTGTACCGGGAGGCCATCGTAGTCAGGCAGACCTTCACCGAGCACTTCTCAGCTGAAGGAGCGGTCCCATGGCAGGATTCCATCTAGTGTGCTGCACCCCCACAACGGCTCTTTTCAGTGCCACCACAAACAACTATTGAGCAAAAGTCCTACATAAAAGTACAAGAATGTCTCCATAGCTGTGTCTGTGTCCTGCTTCTCATTCTCCTCAGAGTACTGCAAGATACACACACACACACACACGCGGTCAGTTTTTACACACCTGCAAAAACATGCTATATCATACAACAAGATCATTATTAGGGCCCGAGCGTCAGGCCAATCTACACCCCATGGCCATTCAAAGTTGTACAAATCATGACGCTGCACCCCACGGTTTACGTTCTAGGGGGCGCCAAAGATGACCCAAATATCCACATTTTTAAAAGTCATAACTTTTTATTTTTGTCCTCACTGGCCTCCAAGTTTTCTAGGATGATGCAATGTCAAGCCATCAACACATTTGTGAAGGAATTTTTTCTCCCCAAAAGAGCGCCCCCCCATGGCAGGAGTAAAAGTCAAGTTTTTCCTGCCCATTGCTCAATGGCTCAAACACATCGCTCTCCCGGCAAAACCGAAAGGAGGAGCAACTTGCCATTTGGATATATCCTAGCTGTGTTTGTGCCCTCACTCATGGTCCATTTTTTCAAATAGGACATGTAGTTTGTCTGCAGCGAGCTTTTTGGTAGAAACTACGCCTCCCATTCATTATAATGGGAAATGACCAAAGACAGGTGCGCACACCATCTTTGGACCTTGACTGTGACGTCATAGTTTGAGATACAAATGTTATTTGACCTCTGACCTTTGGTGGAGACCCTAACCTTTCAACCTGCGAAAACAGCGTTTAAATAGCTCTTACGGCTTTCCTACAAATACACTTTATTCAGCTGCTCCTACTGTCTTTTTCCAGCTCTGCTTCACAGATCATCAAAGAGTGTGCACGTGTGTAATGAGCGCATATTGAATGTTAATTATGTTAACTATGTTAATTATTAGAAGAAATAACAACAACAGTCTTTTTGGACAAAATTTCTTTTTATTACAGAATTAGAATAATGGAAGCATAGTACAAGGAAACCATTCAAGTGATGTCATACCTCATAATTTATTAAGATGTTGGCAAGTCTGGTGATTTCTTCATTCATCAGGTTTCCTGCATGCATACAAACAGAGCACATCCGTAACAGTGAATGATAAGTATGAGTGTGTCATTGTGTAAGAAATGAAAGTGGTTTACTTACACATCCATAGAAAATAGGTGGTTGAGCACGGCACGCAAACAAAGCTTTGCCACGA